TTTCTGAAAATTCGTTTCTCCTCTCTCCTTTTCTCCTGATAGTTTTCCAGGGTTGCCTTACACGCTGCGTTTTTCACATCAGTACCATTACGACACTCCTGATCGTACCATGGATTTCTTGATGGTGGAGTGGGTAAGAGGAACAAGGGGTGCTTTTTAAGGCCTACATTTTGGCATTGATTTTTTAAAATGTTGTTTTTCGACCCACCTTACTGCTTTTTGTTTGTTTATGGTTTTATTTTTGGACTTCCCTTAGCCAAAAATATCGCATGTCATGTCACTAGGCATTTAACAAGATTGTATCATCACTGCGAACATGCGGATGCGTCTGTTAGGTAATGTCCACCGAAATGCATAACCTGCTCATCAGTTGTAATGCAATTTTCGGACGTGTTTATTCTGGTTTTAGTATGGGCGGCTAGCGGATTTTCGGCCAGAGAATGGAATTTTTCCGCAATAGAAGAATCAGATAATTTAGAAAGAAATTTCCAATGGCTCCTGGAGAAGATCCACAAGGAGAGGCCTTATGAGGCTATACTGGTGTTGCAGGACCCTAGCATACAGGATGTGTTTCTAGGGGATGTGAATACCCCAAAGTTGATAGTGAATGGCGAGAACCTTACCTTTAACTACCGGGAAATTTTCAACAGTGAAATTGTGACCCTCTTCCTAATGCGTAGGCGTGTGAACGGCAATCTGATGGCTTTAGGTGCCCAGATTTTGAATAATTTGCGCCAAAATAGAGTCATTATTTTGGTATTGGATGTATCACCCTCAGCAGGACTCCAAATTTTGGAGAACTTATTAAAATTGTGTGATGGCTTCAAAATGACAAATGTCCTGCTGAGTCTAAGCGGAATTATCTATCAACTAAGACCCTATCCGGTTTATAATTGGATCCCAAAACAAATCTCAAATGACACCCCTTACTTCCCGCAACATTGGCGTAATATGTCACAAAAAACCATTCTAACCTATTCGGATCAAACGGCACCACGAACTGTCATCACCATGGATACGAACAACCCACAACAGGGTGTCATCAAAATAAATGGCTTCGTTGCCAGATTGGTGTTGCTTTTCGCCGACCTCTTCAATGCTTCGCTGGAATGGTGTTGTGATTTCGCATTCGGAAATGTGACACCCTATAATCGCATCAATTACATGGTGGATATGAAACAGCTGGACATACCGATGACACTGGACCCTGTCGTAAATGGCAATTTTGTATATCGTTCACAGGTTTATGATTTGGGTAAAGCCTTCCTTATGGTACCCTGTTCGCGGCCATATAGTCTACACGAAATTACGGGAATGCTTTTGAATCGGAACTTCTGTGGTTATATTTTTCTGTGTGGATTCATGTTTACTGCTGTGCATTCTTTGGCGGATTACTATATGGATGGGGAGTTCCACTGGAGAAATATTCTGATAAATGAGAGGATTCTACCCGGGGTATTGGCCCTAACAACGGAGCCAAAAAATTCACCATGGTTGGTATTTAAATTGATTTATGTTCTGCTCTTTCTGGCAGGGCTGAACATAAGTGCCCAATTTTCGGCTAGACTCAATACTCTGTTTACACGGCCTCCACAGCATCGGGAAATTGAAACATTTCAGGATATTGAAGACTCTCCATTGCAGATTCTTGTCGACAGCCTTGAGGCCAAGGCAATGGAACATGTTATCCAGCCCATCGCCGATTCCTTGGTCTACACCAATCAGACCTCGCTCTACCTGCAAATGCGTAGGGATTTAAATACCTCCTATGGTTATGCTGTGAACAGTGCCGTCTGGAATATGCTGAATCGCAAACAGGATCATATGAGCCATAAGCTATTTTGTACCTCTAAACAGTTGACATTACTTCCCTTCATTCACTGGACCATACGTTTGCAAGAGAATTCCGAATATAAGGAACCTTTGGATTATTTGATATTGCGAGTTCATGAATTGGGCCTGATGAAGGCCTGGCATGGCAGCACATTTGTGGATATGTTGAAGGTGAAGGAAATTCGCTTAATGGAGTCTAAGCAAAAGGCGGAGTTATATGTTCTCAAAGAAGGAGATTTATTGTGGATATGGTTATTTGAAATTGCAGGATTGGTGGCGGGGTTGATGGTATTTTTATTGGAATTCTTATGGTTCAAAGTTCGTGGAAATAGGCATTTCCTGATAACTTATTATAATAATTATTTGTATAGCTTACTTGAGTTATTTAAAATAAAATAATCGGAAACGAAAAAGGGGTTTTCTTTACGAAAAGAGGTAGGTTAGGTACCACCGAGATGCAGCGCTGGGTACGGAATTTATTTTAAACAGACTGAGGCACCCTGCACAACATGAGTTACTAACAGGGTGACACAGTATGTTTAGCATTAAAAGGGCGTTTCAAAAAATATTTTTAAAAAATCCACGCCTTGTATGGACCCTAGCTGGGCTCTTAAAAATATTTTTAAAAAATCCACGCCTTGTATGGACCCTAGCTGGGCTCTTAAAAATATTTTTAAAAAATCCACGCCTTGTATGGACCCTTGGTAGGCCCTTAAAAATATTTTTAAATTAAAAAATCCACGCCTTGTATGGACCCTTGGTGGGCTCTTAAAAATATTTTTAAAAAATCCACGCCTTGTATGGACCCTTGGTGGGCTCTTAAAAATATTTTTAAAAAATCCACGCCTTGTATGGACCCTTGGTGGGCTCTTAAAAATATTTTTAAAAAATCCACGCCTTGTATGGACCCTTGGTGGGCTCTTAAAAATATTTTTAAAAAATCCACGCCTTGTATGGACCCTTGGTGGGCTCTTAAAAATATTTTTATAAAATCCACGCCTTGTATGGACCCTTGGTGGGCTCTTAAAAATATTTTTAAAAAATCCACGCCTTGTATGGACCCTTGGTGGGCTCTTAAAAATATTTTTAAAAAATCCACGCCTTGTATGGACCCTTGGTGGGCTCTTAAAAATATTTTTAAAAAATCCATGCCTTGTATGGACCCTTGGTGGGCTCTTAAAAATATTTTTAAAAAATCCACGCCTTGTATGGACCTTTGGTGGGCTCTTAAAAATATTTTTAAAAAATCCACGCCTTGTATGGACCCTTGGTGAGCTCTTAAAAATAATTTTAAAAAATCCACGCCTTGTACGGACCCTTGGTGGGCTCTTAAAAATATTTTTAAAAAATCCACGCCTTGTATGGACCCTTGGTGGGCTCTTAAAAATATTTTTAAAAAATCCACGCCTTGTATGGACCCTTGGTGGGCTCTTAAAAATATTTTTAAAAAATCCACGCCTTGTATGGACCCTTGGTGGGCTCTTAAAAATATTTTTATAAAATCCACGCCTTGTATGGACCCTTGGTGGGCTCTTAAAAATATTTTTAAAAAATCCACGCCTTGTATGGACCCTTGGTGGGCTCTTAAAAATATTTTTAAAAAATCCACGCCTTGTATGGACCCTTGGTGGGCTCTTAAAAATATTTTTAAAAAATCCATGCCTTGTATGGACCCTTGGTGGGCTCTTAAAAATATTTTTAAAAAATCCACGCCTTGTATGGACCTTTGGTGGGCTCTTAAAAATATTTTTAAAAAATCCACGCCTTGTATGGACCCTTGGTGAGCTCTTAAAAATAATTTTAAAAAATCCACGCCTTGTACGGACCCTTGGTGGGCTCTTAAAAATATTTTTAAAAAATCCACGCCTTGTATGGACCCTTGGTGGGCTCTTAAAAATATTTTTAAAAAATCCACGCCTTGTATGGACCCTTGGTGGGCTCTTAAAAATATTTTTAAAAAATCCACGCCTTGTACGGACCCTTGGTGGGCTCTTAAAAATATTTTTAAAAAATCCACGCCTTGTATGGACCCTTGGTGGGCTCTTAAAAATATTTTTAAAAAATCCACGCCTTGTATGGACCCTTGGTGGGCTCTTAAAAATATTTTTAAAAAATCCACGCCTTGTATGGACCCTTGGTGGGCTCTTAAAAATATTTTTAAAAAATCCACGCCTTGTATGGACCTTTGGCGGGCTCTTAAAAATATTTTTTTAAAAAATCCACGCCTTGTATGGACCCTTGGTGGGCTCTTAAAAATATTTTTAAAAAATCCACGCCTTGTATGGACCCATGGTAGGCCCTTAAAAATATTTTAAAATTAAAAAATCCACGCCTTGTATGGACCCTTGGTGGGCCCCTAAAAATATTTTTAAAAAATCCACGCCTTGTATATACCCTTGGTGGGCTCTGAAAAATATTTTTAAAAAATCCACGCCTTGTATGGACCCTTGGTGGGCTCTTAAAAATATTTTTAAAAAATCCACGCCTTGTATGGACCCTTGGTGGGCTCTTAAAAATATTTTTAAAAAATCCACGCCTTGTATGGACCCTTGGTAGGCCCTTAAAAAAATTTTTAAATTAAAAAATCCACGCCTTGTATGGACCCTTGGTGGGCCCCTAAAAATATTTTTAAAAAATCCACGCCTTGTATGGACCCTTGGTGGGCTCTTAAAAATATTTTGAAAAAATCCACCCCTTGTATGGACCCTTGGTGGGCTCTTAAAAATATTTTTAAAAAATCCACGCCTTGTATGGACCCTTGGTGGGCTCTTAAAAATATTTTTTAAAAAATCCACGCCTTGTATGGACCCTTGGTGAGCTCTTAAAAATATTTTTAAAAAATCCACACCTTGTATGGACCCTTGGTGGGCTCTTAAAAATATTTTTAAAAAATCCACGCCTTGTATGGACCCTTGGTGGGCTCTTAAAAATATTTTTAAAAAATCCACGCCTTGTATGGACCCTTGGTGGGCTCTTACAAATATTTTTTAAAATAAGCCACCCCTTATATGGACCCCTGGTGGGCTCTGAAAAATATTTTTTAAAATAAGCCACCCCTTATATGGACCCCTGGTGGGCTCTGAAAAATATTTTTAAAAAATCCACGCCTTGTATGGACCCTTGGTGGGCTCTTAAAAATATTTTTAAAATAAGCCACCCCTTATATGGACCCTTGGTGGGCTCTTAAAAATATTTTTAAAAAATCCACGCCTTGTATGGACCCTTGGTGGGCTCTTAAAAATATTTTTAAAAAATCCACGCCTTGCATGGACCCTTGGTGGGCTCTTTAAAATATTTTTAAAAAATTCACGTCTCTGGTGGGTCCTTAAAAAATATTTTTTTAAATCCCTCCATTAAACATTTTTTTATTTTTATTAACGAAGCTCTTTATTTTGCGCTAATTTTGTAACAAATTAATTCGAACATAAATGCTAAGAAACCCAATCCCGAACCAATGGCCACAATTAACCAAATCCAATAGAAATCCTGCACCACCAATATCTTAGCCGCCCTTTCCGGATTTGGATCACGTATCGAAATCCATTTCAATCTCAACATATCCGAAAAGGTACTTGAATGCCAAGCTTGTATCAGCCCCGCTGCATGGATCTGATGTATCAGATAATTCAAAGCTTCCTGATAGGGCGAATTAAATTGCAGACGAAATCCCCAGGGCAGAAGGCGAAACACGGTGAGGCCATCCGAAGTGCAAAATACCTTGTGGGTAAAATATTGTTGCTTCTGCCGATACATTTCCCACAGGGTAGAGGAACTATAATAGCCATATTGGGTATTGAAACGATGTCGATTATCCTGAAAATATGTGGAATTTCGGGTGATGACCAGGGAGGATGTTAGACCCTCAATGTGTGGCAGAATATATTGGGCCTCAATGGCATCGAGTAGAATTTTCAGGGGGGATTGTTTCAGCTTTTCCATATTTTCAATTTGTTGATGATAGGTGGGATGGGTGAAAAGGGTCTGCACCCTGGCCGAAAATTGGGTACTCACATTCAGACCGGCAAAGAATAATAAAAAGTAGACCAATTTCAAGCCCTGCAGTTGGGTTTTGCGAGCCACAAATGATTGTCCCAACACGCCGGGTAGAATGCGTTCATTCAGCAGGAAACTTGTGGGTCTCCAGTGGCGAAGGAAGGCATAGTCATAAAGGGAGTGGACCAAGGATAACAACACCGTACATATTGTTATTGAACAGAAAAAATTCCAACCCAATAGAATATTGAAAACCTCACGTATGGTGCGCGGTTGGGCACAGGGTACCATAAAAATACCCTGAGCCACATCGAGGGGATATGACATATTTAGCCATTTTTCTTCGGGTCCGGTATCAAGGACCATGGGTATATCCAGCTGTAGCTCTTCCAACCTATCATTGATAATGGTGTAGTGGGTGGGCTTACCCAGTTTCACTTCTGGGTACATTTCCAGCTTGGCATTGAAATGTTCCGCAAACAACATAACCATGCGGGGTATGAAGCCATTGAGGCGTAACTCCTTTGTCTTGGGATCTCGAAAAAGTAATGCTCGCGGCGGGGTTTGATCGGTGTAGGTGAGTAGGGATTTTTGTTGCATATTCCGCCAATGTTGAGGATAGAGGATGCCAGAGTTCCAGGCTTGCCAATGATATTCGGGATAGGGTTTTAGCATGACGAACTGGTAGTTCTTCTCAAGGGCCACTTTCAAAAGCACATTTGTCATTTTGTAGATCTCACATAGCTCTCGAAGTTCCCGCATAAAAATTTCCAAATTTTCAATATTTTCCGCCAACATAAGAATTCGTGTCTGACGTATATAATTCAATATTGCAGAGGTTAGATTCAGGAATTTTGCATCCATGGATCTTTGCACGATGAGGACACACAAAATTTCGGCATTGAATTTTTTCTTATACACAAAATCTGGCATCTCCTTGGTCACGATTAATTTGGGTAACGGAAATTTGAAGAGGTCTTGAAATTGAGAAGTCACCAAATCCTGGTCATACACAATTAACAGGCTATCGAAGTTACGTTCCTTATGAATTTTTTGTAACAAATTGGAGTTGTTGTGCAGCTGGCTCTCGACATAGGCACTGAGTAGAGGATATCCGCACAAAATCAAAACTAATTTCCAAAAATTCGACATTGCGATAGAATGGCAAACGCGAAGTGTTTACCATGTTCCGACCGTCTTCATATTTATATACGAAGTGAAAATACCTGCAGTTCTCTACAGGTGTTGAATTTCCCTGGCCATTGTTTGGGGAAAATGTCCTTAGGCCTTTGTTACTGAATACCAACAATGGCCATTGTCCTTAAAGATTGATGTCAGATTAGAGAGCTGTCAACTTGGCAGATAGAATTCAACGAAAGGATACAAACTAAGGCGTAGATTTTTTAAAATTAATTTTTGAAGGCCTTAATCAAGTCATGGATTTTTTTAAAATAAATTTTTGGTTGGGCCCTTGAAAAACTATTTTTAAAAATCCATGCCTTGTATAGACCACTATTCCCCGTACAAAGACCAGGAATATTATGCACCTGTTGAGAAGTTAATTTGGGATGCCCGACATTTTTTCCAGCCATATATAAATAAGAGGAACGTCGGAACATGAAAAACACTTCTAGTTCGCTATTCTGACCAAATGTTAAATTTTTGGAAAATTATTCGGATTTTGTGCGGAACTGCACTTAGAGCCTCAATCGGGAGCCAGGAAAACAAAAATTCCAATTTATTGCAACAAATTTATGTGGAACGTAAATTTGATACCCTATTAATTGTATATGACCAGTATTTGGAGACCTCTGAATTTCAGGACCTCATCGAATTTCCGTTGCCAAAATTAATTGTGACCATCTCCTTGGTCAGATTTTGTGTATAAGAAAAAATTCAATGCCGAAATTTTGTGTGTCCTCATGATGGATGCATTGATCCATGGATGCAGATATCCTGCATAGAACCTCTTCAGTATTGAATTATATACGGCAGACAAGAATTCTAATCTTGACGGAAAATATTGTAAATTTGGAAATTTTTATACGGGAACCTCGAGATCTATGTGAAAACCACAAAATGACAAATGTCCTTCTGAAAGTGGCCATGGAGAGGAGAAATGCGGTGTGGATACTAAAACCGTATTGGCCAGCCTGGACCTCAGAGACCCTCTATCCCCAACATTGGCGGAATCTGCAACACAAATCCTTACTCACTTTCACCGATCAAACCCCGCCACGAGCATTGCTTTTTCGAGATCCTAAGACAATGGAGTTACGCCTTAATGGCTTCATACCCCGCATGGTTATGCTGTTCGCAGGACATTTCAAAGCCAAGCTGGAAATGTTCCCAGGTGTGGAAATGGGTAAGCCTACCCACTACACCAATGATAGGTTAGAAGAACTACAACTGGATATACCCATGATTCTCGATACAGGACCTAAAGAGAAATGGAAGAATATGTCATATCCTCTCGATGTGGCTCAGGCTATTGTTATTGTACCCTGTGTCCAACCGCACACCATACGTGAGGTCTTCAATATGCTATTGGGGTGGAATTTTTTCTGTTCCATTACGATTTGTACTGTCCTATTGTCCTTGGTCTACTCACTATACGATTATGCCTTCCTCCGCCACTGGAGATCCACTAGTTTCCTGCTGATTGAATACATTCCCGTGGTGTTGGGCCAGACCCAGACCCAGCTGCAGGGCTTGAAATTGATCTACTCTTTGTTATTCTTCGACGGTCTGAATGTGAGCCGTTATGGTACCCTGTGTCCAACCGCACACCATACGTGAGGTCTTCAATATGCTATTGGGGTGGAATTTTTTCTGTTCCATTACGATTTGTACTGTCCTATTGTCCTTGGTCCACTCACTATACGATTATGCCTTCCTTCGCCACTGGAGACCTACTAGTTTCCTGCTGATTGAACACATTCCCGTGGTGTTGGGCCAGACCCAGACCCAGCTGCAGGGCTTGAAATTGATCTACTCTTTGTTATTCTTCGACGGTCTGAATGTGAGCCGCAGCAAATTTTCGGCCAGGGTGCAGACCCTCTTCACCCATCCCACCTATCATCAGCAAATTGAAAATATGGTACAGCTGAAACAATCCTCTCTGAAAATTCTACTTGATGCCATTGAGGCCCAATATATTCTGCTTCACATTGAGGGCCTAACATCCTCCCTGGTCATTACCCAAAATTCCACATATTTTCAGGATAATCGACATCGTTTTAATACCCAATATGGCTACTATAGTTCCTCCACCCTCTGGGAAATATATCGGCAGAAGCAACAATATTTTACCCACAAGGTATTCTGCACTTCGGATGGCCTAACAGTATTTCGTCTTCTGCCCTAGGGATTTCGTCTGCAATTCAATTCACCCTATCAGGAACCTTTGAATTATCTGATACATTAGGTCCATGCTGCGGGGCCGATACAAGCATGGCATTCTAGTACCTTTTCGGATATGTTGTGATTGAAATGGATTTCGATACGTGATCCAAATTCGGAGAGAGCAGCCAAGGTATTGGTGGTGCAGGATTTCTGTTGGATTTAGTTGATTGTGGCCATTGGTTCGGGATTGGGGTCCTTAGTATTTATGCTCGAATTAATTTGTCACACACATTTGAATAAATTATTTCCCGACACATTCTCTCGTTTGTGGGTAAACATCTGACCCTTAACATATGTTGTTTGCCTAAAAGTATGCACTGAAATTTTGATGCCACATCATCCATGCCTTTGTGCCAATGACACGAATGATGAGAGGAATCTGATTCAGTTATTACCCAAATCATCATCACTAACCGGTATTTTGAATTAGCTGAGAGTCTGAAAGAGTAATTTTTTTTTTGCAATACTGCACTGCGCATAATCTTCTCAAGTGATGTAGAGAGTCCACAAAATCTCCTACTCGCAGGAGATAAACATTTGTTACTGCTGCGGTCAAGCTGTAACTATTTTAATGGACATGACTGCAGATGGAATTGAAACACATTTGAACGGAAGAAAAAATAGTCGAACATCTGGTTTCGTGTCGTATACGTAATGTCGATACGTATACGCAACCTATGCCAAAAAAATGGGACGTATACATGTTGTCGTTAATTATACGCAGCATAGCCCCAAAGGAGAATTTTAAAATAATGACAAAAGGACTATGAAAACTACATTTTTATGAACTGATCGACCCTCACCTACAGTAGCGTAATTTTTATTGGCCTTTTATTGATTACATCGCCATTGAATAATCAAATAATTTTTTTTTATTGTTCCATCATAAAGTTCTGACAAAATTAATTCTAACCCCACAATCGTATGTGTTCCTCTATTAGTTAATAAATGACCAGCCATGTGGAAGCAACTAATTTTTCTACTGCTCATAAATTCTGCAATGGCTCAAAAAATCTATAAAATTCCATTGCCACGAGAGATACGCTATAACTTAAGTGAAATTCGAAATCTGCGGGATTTAATGGATTATGGTATTATTGAACCCTCAGCATTGCCGATATCAAAACGACCACATGATTACTATTGTATACCGACGTATTTGAAACGAGACAACAATTTCAATTATCCAGGGTGCCTGAAGCGCTACCTGCAGAAGATGATTATTGAGGATTGAAAGGTTTTGAAAAAAATGCAATTTTTGTAATAAAAAATTTTGTGAAATAAATAAAAAAATTATCTTAAAAAATCCATGGCTTGGTAAAGGCCTTGAAAAATTGTTTTAAAAATATCCAAAATTAAAAAAACACTCCAAAAATTGATTTAAAAATATCCGAACTTGAAAAAACGACTCCAAAAATTGATTTAAAAATATCCGAACTTGAAAAAATACGCTGTGCCAAATTTCGTGCAAATCGAAAGATATATAGGGACTTTGGTGCACCATTTACATAAAATCGGACGAAAATATATATGGGAGCTATATCGAAATCTGAACCGATTTTCACGAAACTCAGTACACATCATTCTGGACCTAATTCAGTACCCTATGCCAAATTTCTTCCAAATCGAAAGATATATAGGGACTTTGGTGCACCATTTACATAAAATCGGACGAAAATATATATGGGAGGTATATCGAAATCTGAACCGATTTTCACGAAACTCAGTACACATCATTCTGGACCTAATTCAGTACCCTATGCCAAATTTCTTCCAAATCGAAAGATATATAGGAACATTGGTGGCCCATTTACCTTAAATCGGACGAAAATATATAGGGGAGCTATATCTAAATCTGACCCAATTTTCTCGAAACTGGACACACGTCATTCTCGACTCAATTCAGTACACTACGCTAAATTTCGTGCAAATCGAAGGATATATAGGGGCTTTGGAGCAAACAGTTACATAAAATCGGACAAAATTATATACGGGAGCTATATCTAAATCTGAACCGATTTTCTCGAAACTTGACACACATTATTCTAGCCTCAATTCAGTAGACTGTGCAAAATTTCGTGCAAATCGAATGATATATAGGGACTTTGGGACACCATTTACCTTAAATCGGACAAAACAATATATGGGAGCTATATCTAAATATGAACCGATTTTCACCAATTTCAATAGGGTTTGTCATTGGGCCAAATCAGTGAACTGTGCCAAATTTCATCCGAATCGAATCATAAATGCGACCTGTATTTTAAAAATCCACGCCTTGTGTAGAACCTCCAAAAAATAAATTTAAAAATCCACGCCTTGTGTAGAACCTCCGAAAAATAAATTTAAAAATCCACGCCTTGTGTAGAACCTCCAAAAAATAAATTTAAAAATCCACGCCTTATGTAGAACCTCCAAAAAATAAATTTAAAAATCCACGCCTTATGTAGAACCTCCAAAAAATAAATTTAAAAATCCACGCCTTATGTAGAACCTCCAAAAAATAAATTTAAAAATCCACGCCTTATGTAGAACCTCCAAAAATGAAATTTAAAAATCCACGCCTTATGTAGAACCTCCAAAAACTAAATTTAAAAATCCACGCCTTATGTAGAACCTCCAAAAAATAAATTTAAAAATCCACGCCTTATGTAGAACCTCAAAAAAATAAATTTAAAAATCCACGCCTTATGTAGAACCTCCAAAAAATAAATTTAAAAATCCACGCCTTATATAGAACCTCCAAA